CCCCAAAACCCCAAAACCCCAAAACCCCAAAACCCCTAACAATGGTAGTTTAATATTTTAAAATAATAAATGGACTGGAAAATTTTTGCGTTGCTTATTGCAACGAACATATGATGCTCATGCGTATTTATGATCTTATGTCCATTCTTGCCTATTGAATTTGGCAAGTTTGGATTCAAAGAATCTACTTTTGGATATATTTACTCAATTTATGCTTTTACTATTATGCTGTTTTCTTTTGTTTCAGTGAGATTGATGGCAATGTTTGGGAGAAAGAAAACTTTATTAAGTAAGTATTAATATAATAACCTCCAGCTGGGATTGCGACAATGATATTATCTTGCCTTTGCTTTGCAGCTTCAGACTCAAACAGCTATTTGTGCAATCATATTCAAGATAAAAGATATTTGGTCTATTTATTGATGATTTTTCGTGTTTTTCAAGGAGCTTCAGCTTCGATGATACAAACGTCTACATTTTCCATTATAAATGTTTCTTTTACCCAAAATAAAATGAAATATCTAGGATTTGGAGAAGCTGCAAAAGGAATTGGATGCACACTCGGGCCTGCTGTTGGAGCATGATTATATACATTTTTAGCTTTTCAGGGCACATTTTTAATAGTTGCAGTTCCTTTGATCATATTCTTCCTGCTTTTAGGGGTTTTCCTTCCTAAATCTGTTGATGTTACTGATGAAAATAAATCAGGAGGAGATGTACTCATAGCTAATGACATGTTATCGTAAGTTCTTCAATAATTCTTCATATAGAAATGATGATAATGGGAGTAAAAAGGTATCTCATTGAGCTCTATTCTCAAACAAGATTTATATTTTTACTTTAATTTGAGGATTGCTTTCATACTTTGCTCCAAGTAGTTATGAACCAGTATTGTCGATGAGACTCAAAGAGTTTAACCTTACTGATCTGGAAGTTGGCTGAGTTTTTGCAATTACACCTTTCTGATTCTTCTTAATGAACTTGAACATATCTTATTTCACACAAAGGTTTGATATCAAAAAATTACTTTTCTTTGGAATGTTGGCAACAGGAATTTTTTATTTCTTGTCAGGCCCAAGCAGATTTCTACCAAACAGTTTATTATTATTAATCATTGGATTTTTCTGTAGAGGAACAACATCGATCTTTTTCTGTATTCCTGTTCTACCAATAATAACAGACAACGGAGTTTCTAGGTATCCTCATTTAAAGTACAAAGTGACAGATATCTCTTCAGGAGCCTTCAGTTTTGCCCTTGCTCTAGGTCAATGTTTAGGGCCTCTCTTTGGAAGCTATTTGACTGAGTATTTCGGGTTTAGAGACATGATGACCGCAGATGGATCTATTTTAGTGGCTTATTCGCTATTTTATTATATATTATGTATTACAAATAAAGGTGATGATAAAAATAGCAAGTCAGATATCGAAGATAATATGAAGAGCAGTTATAAAACTAATGATAGTTTGACAAAGAAAGAGACTTAAAATTAACATTTAATGCATTCTAAAATTGAAGGAAAGAGCTAAACTTTATTATAAGGGCTAATATATTATTTTGAAGGAATATTTATCCTCAAAGTGTTAAATTTATGGATGGAAACACTTAAAATGAATTATATAAAACATCCACGATTAGCTCCTTATATAATCGAATAAGCTTGCTCTTTTAATTAAATTAAAACCTTCAAAAATATTGTATTTCAAATCTAAAGAAACTCAATTACTTTTCAAATATATTTACCAGTCTAGCCCTGCTGCCTCATCTTAATTCTATTCTTTTTTCTATTAGCAAAAGACTTCTCAATACTTCAAACTATCGGCACGATTTATAAAAATAAGGGATATTGTAGCTTCATTGTCTTCTCAAAGATAAACAACTTTGAAGAGAAATAGAGACAAAATTAGATTAAAATACCTTTTAATAAAACCTTGAGAACCACTCGAAATTAAAAATTTAAATTTTATTTAACGAGATAATTACAGAGAGGTTGATGCAAAGACATGTCTTAGCTTTAGTTCTGTCATACAAAAATATCTGAAAATCATAGGAATCAACTTCTTCTTTTTGATATTTACAATATTGGCAACCAATATTTCAATGTGGTTGCCAAATCTTGGGGTTTTGGGGTTTTGGGGTTTTGGGGTTTTGGGG